TGAAAACTTTTGTGTGTCACCACGATAACCGAAAATTGACGCGGACAATGACAAAAACCGCAGATGCTTTCAGCATTTAGCGGACGGACATTTGTTGACCAACAATAAATATGTGTCAATCGATGGCAATTATCAGGCTAAGGGCAAAGCTCTACTGAACGGGCAAATACACTAAAAAGGGTAAAAACAAACACCTCAAATCACCAATCACCGAGCAACTTTAAAATTTAAAAAATACCAGCACCACGACTTTTCGGCTTACTCTTCGGACCAACAACCAAGCAACAAGCAAACTTTGCAGCCCATTTAATTTAGAATAAAAGCCAAGTTTAGAAGTTTCCAAAGAGAGTGAGAGAAAGTAGTGAGAGCCCTCATAGTTTGGGCCACATTTTGTTTACTTTTGGCCAGAGTTGATGAACTGTAAATGAACTTTGTGTTTGAATTCGATTTAGTTTTATTGCAACATGCTGCTCGAGCAGCACTTCATCTAGACATTAAACCCATCAGGAGCTGCAGCAGCAACAGCCACTAAGAAACACTTCCATTGGTCATATGTACATATATATTTCTCTACATGTTTGAGTAGCTGCTTGAGATGTATCTGGTGAACAATCGAAAGTTGTGCAGCAGTTTGGGCGGGTTTGTAGCTCCGGGTATCTGGCTTTGTGGCTGGAACATGATACAGCCAAAGTACACATAATATCGATGTGAATGCAATATTGGTTTGCCCAAAGAACATTTTAGTTTGAGGGTTTTGCTGGGTGAAAGGAAAACCACATACATAGATGGGCTTTGCAGGCACATCAAACGTTGATACATTCTTAATGCGTTGCCATTTCGAGTGATTGTTAAAGAAAATGCAATGCAGTGGAGGGTTTTGATAGCCAGTGATAACAATTCACTGTGGGAAGTGGAAAAATCCAAAGCCAAAACAGCTGTGACTATTAAATTTATCCACTTAATATGCATGACAGTGCAGCAGATTTTCACACTGTAACGAAATTGAGAAATGAAGACAGATGAGATGACAATTAAACCCTCGAAACGAGTATGAATTGTTTCGCCCAACACAACTACCATATTCCATCTGCATGTATGTATATGAATGCATACCATTAAAAATATATCCATGTAGATTTACGAATATAATTAAACTTATCAGTGGAAAGCACAAACGGCCAAGAGAGGAGCGAGCGCATCAACTGCACTTTTTATTTACATTTCCATTAAGTCAACACCGAAAAAGCACACCAAGCGGCAGCAAAGAAAAAGGAGCAGAAGAAAAGTACCTCTTCAGCAGACAACCAACCAAGAGAAAAAAAGAAAGAAAAAGGTGCAAAATTTACTGAAACAAAGTCAACACGAATTTGCAATTTGGTATAAAATTTCCACTGCGACCGCTGCACAAATTGCTAATTCGCTAAAAACTTCACAGTTGACACAAGAAATTTGTGTGAATATATTTTTTATGCGCCTCCTCGGCAAGAGGATCTGGACAGGACACTCCAAAAGCCAGATAGAACAAAGAGGGAGAGGAACATAAATAGAGGAAAAGATAGCGACCCAGCAGTAAGCGATTCAAGTGTTGGCTGTGCTAGGAGAGGGCATGTGGCATTTCTTATTGAGTTTGTAAATGCATCAAAATATTCTTTGTATATATTTTTATAAGCAAGATTAAAGCGAGCTTCAGTCAGGAATCGGAGCGGTTTTTGTATATAATCATAACTGACTGAATCACATTTCCAGGAAGTGTCAGAAAAATGCTTTATTGATTACAAATTGTTTGTTGTGCATAGAGTGAAAATACTCCTAAAGTATGCGGTGAAAGTAACCTCGGTAAGAAATTAATGACTGATTAATAAAACAGATTGCATTTTGTACTGATAAATGAGCATTAAAGTGCGGCAGCCTCTGGGTTTCTTATAGCCAAAGTTCACAGAATTTAATGGTATATGACATAGTAGATGAAATACCCAAAAAACTCCAGAGACAGGTACGAGGTGTGGTGGCCTGATGGATTCCTGATATGTGTGTGTTTGGGTGTTAAAATTTCTAGTGATAACGAATTCAAAGCAAATGACTGAATGGATTTTGTACCAGCACATAAGTACAATGCAGTGCCAGTCCATCGAAGGGGATACAAATGTCAAAGTAGTCTGCCAACTATGAAGATAAAACTGAACTGTTATCAGACGGTTAGAGGAGTGCTAAAAGCAGAGTATTAAATGTGTTAGCTGATGAGATACGACAACTTAAGTTAACTTAAGGAAAGTACACATCTTTATAGACTGAAAGTAGTAGCGTAGAAAGATAATTTTGTGAGATAATTTCTGCTTACATGCAAATATATGTAGGTTAAGATATTCCCCCCACAAAATTATCCAATTGTGTTCTGCGTACTCGCATTCACTATTTACTTTTGTGAACGAAATCAGCTGTTATCAGAGCAGAGCTTTGCGTTGTTCAACTTATCAGAATCAATTAAGCGTGAATAAAGGCGTGGACAGTGTGTCAATATTTGCCCCAGGCACTTGGAGACAAGTTTTGTATCCAGTTTTCTTGTTTGTATATTTTATAAGCCAAATGACTAATACCCCAAGATGTTGGACCTAAGTTGTCACAGGGGAATCCCCTGTAGAGGCAGCTGCTGCATAGATCATCCTGGAAAATGCATCCATCTTTTGGCCCCTGATGCATTGCCTGTTATTAATACATTCGATTGATAAATATCCCACTACTAAATTAAAAGTGTCACCAGAACAATCTCCAATTCCCATGCCATCCTTTTTGGCATTCTTTGTTCGACGTCGGCGGCGACGACGACAACAAAGCATTTGACATTAGTTGAGATTTTCAATGCTTTCCACACAGCAGACCTTCCGCCTTCCGCCCTCCCTCCTACCACTGCGTTGAAAACGTGTCAAATCGTAGCGGGAGGGAAGAGGGAAGAACGAACGAGAACCTCAGCAGATTGGTTCCGTGCCAGGCAGCCATAGAAAGGCTGCATCTACATCATTACCATGACGCCGGGGGTCTAAACAGTGCTTGGGACTTGGTCAACTTTTTCTTTTTTTGGGTACAAAGTTCGCCCGCCATTTGGCCAAATGCTAAAGCGAACTGCAGAAAGAATGCAGGCAAACTGCAGAGAAAAATAAATTGTATAGAGAATCGTTCTTTTTAATGCCGCTCAAGGTCTGTTTGTTGGGTGTTTTCTTTCGATTTGATTTTCCCTTACCCACTGGCCTGTTTTTTCTCTTGTGTTACGCATTTATGCTAAAAGTCTATTTATATACTTTAATTAGATAACAACGGAACACAGGAGAACGGCTGAGTCTATGGCTAATGTCTCATGGCGCCAGGTTTGAAATCAATTTCAGCAAAACTTTCCTTTGACTCATGCCAAATTTTGAAATACCCACACAAATAGTAGATACATTATTGCCATCCCAGCACGCCAGTCACACCCACTTCAATGTCGTAAAGTTATAGACCTTGGCACTGTTCTACTTTAAAGCGCAATCGTGACTCAAAGCAAAGATTGTTATTACCATTTATCTACACAAAATCCACCATTGAAGCTCAACCTTTTCATACGTGGATCGATCAATTGTGTAATGAAAAATTACAACTTGTTTACGATTTGTTGAGGAAGAAACTTAAATCAGGCAATTAGGAGTAGCGAGAGTGTTTCATATATCCCATTCCAGCAATTTTGTACCACGAACTTTCCCCATCTTTACCTATCCCACTGGCACATACTTCTACCCGCTTTCCACCATCAATTCTGTCCAATAGAACCTGCCGCAACTGTTGATTTCTATACTGACACCAATGCCATGACCTCAAAAACACAACAAGAACAAGAACATTTATTCATATTATTCGAATATAGGCAGGACTGATAAAGGTAGGCAGATGGGTGTGTAGAAGCTAAGACTCATAAGCAAAACTTTGGCTCCAAGTCTGGGGAAAACTTATTTACTTCGAAATTACGTGTCGCTGATGTTCGCTGAGGCTGAGACTGAGGCTGAGACTGAGACTGAGGCGACATTATACAATTTATATGCACGTATTGCGTTCTATCCAAGATGAAATGTCGCCATCGTCGTCGACGGTCTCGTTGTCGCTCTCGGTCCAAGGCTCTCGGTGGCAGGAAGACTGTTGGCTGTACGGCGGGATGGTTGCTCATCAGCATCATCAACGAGAATGTAATTACATTTTCCCGATTCATGACAGTTTTGCATAACCAAAAGCCCGTTCCTGTTCCTGTTCCTGTTCCCATTCCCCAACCTATCCTTTCCCCTATTCCCCTGTGTTATTCTTGTCTCAGCGTCTGGGTTATTGCGTTCATAAATGAGGCAGGCGCGAGTTTCAGCCACAGGATGCAAAACCGTGGCCACAAACACCTTTGGCCCCGACTTGTCTTGTGTGTATAAATCACCAGGAATCCATTCTCTGCAGCCGAACAAAATTGATTTTTTGTTCTCGTCAAGGTGGCAAGTTCAGCTAACGAGATTTTTCTATTAAATTAGCTGGGAGTTTTGAATAATTGGGAAAGGTACAGTTGGTCTTTCGATTATAAGATACCCTTTAATGGGGGAGGCAATGCAGGCAATCCTCCTAACCACTTTAAATAAATGTAATTTATTTAATTTGCAGGCAATACATTTAATCCACAAAATTTTTTTAATTTTGTCGACTACAAGGTACCTTTGCGGGTTTCTAAAAAAATGCTCATAAAACTGTTTCCCTATCGAAATGATAATTCAGATAAGTTCTATAAAGAACATCCGGTGCCCCCCTCACTTCGTCGCGTATCATACAATATATCTTGGAATATACCAATGTGGAGCAGATCAGATGACTAACCATGGAGCACAGTTCGTAATACTCATAGCTTTGTGTGGTGCGGGGGTCTGTAGGAAAGTCAACTGATAAGAAAATCCGCACAGGCCACATAAAAGCCACCTCTGAGCCGCTGCCAGAGGCAGTATCAGCATAACATGACAACTGTCGACACAAAACAAAACAACTGTGCGAACATTTTAATTTAATTTAAATACAAAAACATTTTAACGAGGGAAATTCAATCAAGTGTAAACGAGTTAAGCGAAAATGAGTGTGGAACAAGTAAGAGGGAAATGCAATGGAAAATCTTTAGAGAACAAGATGCTTCGTGAATGTATACAAAAAAATGTGCCAACGTGAATTGGAAATTCAATTATTAACAATAAAAGATGCTTAAAATTTAAACCAGAATATGTCCACAGATCTTCAAGAACTTATAAAAAGAAGAATTCTTCAAATATAAATTTAAAGCTCATTTAAGAGAGATCTTAAGCTGTCTTATCAAATAATCTTTGCGGTTAAATTTTAGTGAAATATTTTTAGAAGCATCTCTGAATGATATTAAGAAAGTTTTATGGGTAACTTATCATTGTAAATCTCAACGTTCCAGTTTGCCCAGGAATGCCTCAATGCCCACAATAAATATCGCGCACTGCACCATGCCCCACCGCTAGGGTTGAGTCCCAAACTGAATGCATTGGCCACCAATTGGGCCCAGGTGGGTTTCATATAAACATCATAGTAGTCTTCATATCCATCCATCCTTTCGTTATAGCATTTGCTGGCCAACAATCGCATGGAGCATCGTCAGAATAGCGGATATGGCGAGAACATTTATATGGCCATGGGTGGGAATATGTCTGCAAGCGATGCTGTGGACTCCTGGTACCAGGAGATCAATCAATACAATTGGCACAGTCCTGCCTTCAGTATTAGCACGGGACACTTTACCCAAGTCGTGTGGAAGAACTCCACAGAGTTGGGTGTGGGATTTGCCAAAAGGTTGGTTGGCTTTTTATTGAATATTTTTAGCTAAATATATAAATATTTGATTATCTTTTTCGTAGAGGAAACGTCATTTACGTTGTGTGCAACTACAATCCGCCTGGAAACTACAACAATATGTTCCGCGAAAATGTCTTGCCCTGAGGTCGCTAAAAGCAAATGGAAATTTAAGGCATTCCAAAGATATTTATGAAGCATTACTTTAAAACATTCCATTTAAACCAAAGCAAAACAAAACACAGAATTTATATTGGGAACAAATGTACATATTATTATTATTAAATAAAATAAAAAAACATATTTTTAAACATATAAATAATCATCTTTAGGTATGGGTATGGGGTGTGTGAGGTTCCCACTTCAACTGCCAGTCTGACCAAAATCTATAATTTCTCAGACACTTGATCTCATGTGACTTCGAGCGTAAGTTAAGTTAGTTCTTACATTTAAACACCCATCTTCTATAGTAATTACTTCCATAATATCCGCATGATTTACGTGAACCCATGCCACTCTCAACGGCCTTTTGGGAGTCCGTTGCATCGATCACTCTTCAATGGTGCAAAGCTTTGGACGAGGCCGTGAACCGATGATGCCAATACTGTTGCTGGAGAAGCCATTTGGTGAAACTTTGCCGGTGCTTCTCGCACCATCGCAGACCTTCGCTGATGGTGAGGAGGACTTGAGCTTAGTCCTAAGCTTCGGCTGCTGTCGATGCACATGGACTCCGTTGCGTCGCAGCCTGCGATAGAGTGAGATGTACTTGCCCGCCGTCGTCGTGCGGGGCACAATGTACTTCTCACAGAAGGCAGTTTTGCTGTGGGCCGCTTCGCTCAACTGGCCATGGCCCAGGGCCTGGAGGAAGGCCAGGACAAAGGCATAGCAGTTGTGGCTGGTCTCCTCGTAGCTGGCCATGGACCACCGCATGGATTGTGCGCAAATCTATTAATGCAAAATGGTAGGGATACAAATGGGCACCCAGTGGGTAGCGTGGGTCCGAGTGAGCTTAGGGATTTGCATGAATATCAAAGAAGGGAGACAACACTTTACTCCATTCCACTCCACTCACCTGCTGCAGCATCTCGTCCCAGTAGTCGTGCCAGGGCTCGGGCAGATCCCCCACCAGGAGGCTCTGCCACCATTCGCGCGGATTATCGTCCCGCCGATGCCGCCGCAGTCCGTCCCGATCGAACTCCACGATGTCGCCTCCGGATGTGGTCACTGCGATATGCAAATCGGTCGCATTGCTGTAATCGCTGCGGAAACACACAACGCATCGCATCAAAAATATATATGCATTTCCAGGGACGAAAAAAATGGCAGAAATTTGCACAGAGATTTTTGTTTGCCCAAACAATGGCATTGGATTTTAGGGAGCTTGAATTGGTCTCGCCTTTAAGGCGGAAAGTTAAAGATCTGTCGGGATATGGACAAGGCGAGGAGAACTATGTCCCCTCTACCAAACTGAAGCATTGGCAGCACTTCTCTTACAAGTTAAGGAAAAACTATGGAAATGGTTGCTCTTTATCTTGGTTTTATATTGTTTGAATGGTCAACAAATTGGCTGCACAGTTTTGACTAATTTTAGACACAGAAATGTCTTGTTTAAACGGCTTTCCCAAAACGGCAATCAAACTTACTTTAAGCTCAATTGTAATTTGTTCGTGGAATTAAATGTCATAAGCGGGTACAAATATTCTAGTGGACACCATTCAGCCACCCAGCCTGCGGTACTCACTTGAGAAAATCGCCAGTGGAGGGACGCAGGACAATGGCGCAAGGGTGCTGTGTGGCCCGCACAAAGGGATACGGCAGACGGAAGGGCAGGAGCCGGGCGGCAGTGGCTGGCGACTGAGGTCCAGCTGTAGCAGCCTTGTCCACTGTGGATGGGGCATCCTCGTCCTCATTCACATCTGCATCCGCATCTGCATCCAGTGGCGCATTGCAATGGGGACAAGTGTGGGGCAAAGTGAAGCAGAAAACTTTTGCGTTGCAATGATGAAAACAGAGGATGCCCGGATCTGAGGTAATTGTGGTTGTACTTGTCGTTGCCGACATATCTGTGTACATATATCTCTGTGTGTGTGTGTGTGGATGTTCCTCTTGATCCTCCTCCTGGCTGCTCCACCTTGTTCCAACTCCTCCTTTGTGTTCTGGTGCGTCCTGTTCTTTGGGTTCTGGTTCCTCTTGATGTTGGGGTCCTGCTACTGTACCCGTATTATAATTGATACACTTTGTCTATTGTGCCCCTGCCCCTCCCCACCCCTCCGGCTGCGTCCTGTCTCCTTTTTGGTGCTTGTGGTTTCCAGCCTGGCCCCTGGGCCTGAAATAAAATGAAAAATTCTTGTAAATAAGCTGAAACCAGGCAAAGTTGCAACCGTAAAGCGGTTTGCCCGGAACATTCAGTCGGCCAGGCAGTTTCTGTGGTCACACAACACATAGATGAAAGACAGGGGAGAGACGAAGAGGGAGCGGCATAGAGCAGGGTGTTTTAGACAGACTTTGACCAAAAAGTTTCCTGGTAAATATGACATTTGTCATCATTATTGCCAGGTCTTGTTTTGGGGTTCTTCGAAAGGTTTCTTTGGGGTTGAAATAAAGGGCTGAAACAAGGTATAGAAATAAAATGGAAAAAAGAAGAAAAATATCAAGTCGGGTAAGGAAATCAATGTACAAAATTAGGTTCTAAAAAATATTTAAATTTAAATTTTGTTGTGAAAAGAAAGGAATGTTCAATTTACAACGTTATAATTATTTATACCTTCGTGGTATACTTTTGGGTTAAGATCTCTCTCTCTCTCTCTCTCTCTGTCTCTCTTTTTATGCTTTCACAAAAACTAACACAAATATTTAAGAATCACAAGTACTGTCTGCTTCAATTCATATTTGCATAAATGACATTATTTCAACACATAAAAAACAGCGAAATTGATTCCGCAAAAGAAATCCATTCAATAAAAAGAAACTCTTCCATTCCGCTGTTATACAAATAACCATTTTTTCAATCAATTAAAACCACTTTATAGCGAAGTGGCAGCAACCCCTTGGGGCAATCATATTCTGGCCATATAGCGGGGCGGGGCGGGGTAAAGCCGGTGCCGAAAAGAAAGCAAACCAAAAACGTAAACAAACCGGCAAAATGCGTATCCACCTTCACCACCGCCTGTCGCCAAGCGGTAACTCACCACGAAATCTGAATAAAGTCCCTCAAATTGCCCAAAACACAGCCTCAGAGAGCGGCAGAGAAAATTCCCAGCTCGTTGCATGGCGGCCCAAAGAGAGCGGTGGAAATGCATAGTACACTAGAAAATGTCCCCGTCTCGTCTTTTGGATCTCGTGGCGGCACGAGACTTTGGCTGCACGGTGGCACGAGCCACGTCCACGACAACCACTTGGAGTCGCGAGGCGAAACCAGTTGACGGCGAGCCGTGCAAGCAGACGGTCGTGTTGTAGTCGCAAATTGCTAAAAGGAAAGTGTCCCCCCCCCCCCCCAAGAAAAACAACAAGAAAAACAAACCAAACCAAAGCCCAAACAAAAGGCCCATCAATATCATCATAGTTACGGGTTGTTCCTAGTGTGGAGTGCATACCAAGAGAAAACTGCTATCAAAGGATACAAGTGCGAAGGATACGCCGCAGCATTATCCTGACGAGACATAGAGACCCATCCCCAAAAAACAGTGAGACATTGTCCTTTTTTTTGTTTACAACTCGCGGAGAGGACTTTGCATTTTTGTGGGTCTAGGACTCGGTGGAGGGTGTCCGTGCCCGTGTATTTCGTGGTCTCCGTGTTAGTTTTTGTGGTCTAACCCTCCCTCGTGCACCAGCCCCTAGTCCAGTCCTGTCCTTAGCCGCCGTGCTTTGTGTTTGTGTTGTGCTGCTGCAAAGTGGACGATGCCATGGCAACACATTGCTAATCGATGACGTGACCAAAAATAAAGAAATCCAACCAGAAAACCAACAAAATAACTGTCAGCAAACAAGACCCTTCACATTTTGGGATAACACTAGGATAATGTCCATCAACTGATTTCGGGTATGTGGAGCAAACAAAAACTAAACAGCGAAAAATTACCCCAAGCTAAGTGATCCTTGTAGCGGTTGAGGAAATTTAGTTTTTAATGGCCAACAAAAAAGGGAAAACACTATAAGGGTTGTAAATAAATGTAAATGTTATGACCCATCAGACTATGATAAAATATCTTATTAACAAAAGATTGCCAACAGATTTGAATCCTGCATTAAATATGCTTCATACAAATGCTATTTTGATATATATTTTGGGAATAAATATATTTAAATACATAACAGGCTCTACCTCTAGGCATAATAGTTCTCCCTGCTGTTTTTGGCATCCTTCATCTCCGACCATTGCATTTTTGCTTTAAGTTCTTTTATCAATATCCGTGGGCAGCTATTTATGAGTCTTCAAGTTTCCCTCAAACTTCTACACACCACAGTATCTGTTTATCTTTGAAATACATCAAGGATAATGACCATTAACTAGTTTTCCATGAGCATGTGGATCAATCAACACATTTACAGAACACACAAAGCAACAAAAAACTCAAAAGAAAAATGCCCGCCCAACTGATAAGTGTTGCGGTTAACGAAATTCATTTTTGATAGCCCGAAAATGGTGAAACATTTAAGCTTCTTAACTGCTTTCCACCCAAAAGTAAAAGCAAAGCAAGTTCTGTGGTTCCCTTTTGTGGTCTGAGCGCAGTCTCAAGTCTCGACTGGCAGACGTTTCAAGATCGACAGAGATAAGAGTTGGAGATGCGGCGGTGCCAAAGGCAAGAGTTGACATTCCACAAACAAGCCTGAAGGGAACTTTGAACCCAACTTGAATGGGGAAAATCGTCAAAGGGAAGGCACACTTCCCACTTTAAGCAGTAGTTTTTCTTTGGGTCTGTCTTTCTGTTTGTGAAGTCTCCACTCTTAGCCCAATTAGTGGGCCTGACTTGTATGCAAAATTAAAATATTTACTTGGCCAAGTTGTCAAAAACTGAGAGAACTATTCATAGGCGATATTTTGTCACAGATTAAGTGGATGGTTTGCTTTCGAAAAGGGTTGCTAAGGGTGCACATGGAGTGAGGAGGGTATTTGGCTCAAACAAAAAGTGGAACATTTTGATGGATTCTGAAGGAATTTTAGACTAGCTACAAAATATTTAATGTTTTCGTTTTATTTATGGAAATTGCTAAAGCAATATTTTGCGTGTTTATTTTTTGCTTGGAGTTTCAGAAGTTGTTTCCTTGTGAGATTAACTAAAGTTTTTCTGCAACATTTTGGCTTTAATAAAGTTAGGAAATTTTTGAATCCACTCTGAAAGGAAAACTAAAATAAAAGCAAACAAATTTTGCAGCTTAAATATCCAATAAAGTGCAAAACAACTAAATTCCTTATGTTTTTTTAATACCAACAACTTTTAATAGACTGTGGAATGCTTTCTTTCTTGGTTAATATAGATAAAAATATAATTATGATAACATAAATAAAAGCCTTAAAATGTGCCTAAACTGATGCTAAATATAGGCAATCAGAGAGAGTTTTAGTTTTATAATCAAATGCCATTTACATGCAAATTTAATTGCTTTCAAAACACACAGAATATTTTGGGTGACTTACGATAATGAAAATACGATGGCCAGCAGTGAAAACCAATGCAAATATTTGGCCAGAGTTAAACGTGAGTAGTGAGAGAGAGATTTTCTTAACAAAATTACAATTGCTTTACTTGGAGTAAAAAATGGATTTTACTTTGGGCCTTGAATACGAAAGCCAAAGGCATATCCCAAGTGGAAATGCTAAAAATAAATTGCGTGAATTTGCCTTAAGAAAAAGAAAACGTGGCAGGCAGCAAGGCAGGAAAACAAATGCAATAAAGGATATGACAACAGGCCCTGAGAGAGAGAGAGAGAGAGAGAGAGAGTGCGCCGAAAAGAAAGTGGGAGAAACGGCAACAATTTCAGCAGCGGGCTTTCGTGAAATCCAAACAAACTTTATCTCTATGTTGTTTGCCAACTTGAATTAAACACGCCCCCATGTACACACACACCCCCGCACACATATGGCCAAGAAAGTATGTTACGGGGAGAAGAGGAGGAGGCAGGGCACGGAAGTCCCAAAGAGTTGTGAGAAATGAAATTACAACTTGCATCCTTCTTTTTGGCTTTCTCCTCTTTTTGTTGGCCCCGGACAGGCACTTGGCCAGGGACCTTCAAAAGGAATTGTTTGGCCAAAGCAAACACAGAATGGGACGAAAAAATGTCTGTGAAATCAAGTTAAGTTTACGCATTTTTTGTGCACTTGGAACAGGACCAAAGGCAGAAGCAGCCAGAGTGAACGTAGCGTGGCATGGTGCAGCTCCGAAAAAAATATAGTATAAAATATGTACATGGCAGGAGGAGGCGCATCAACAATGCACAAGCCAAAGACAGACCTGTACAAGGCAGACGACAAACAACAAATGAAAACAGGTGAAAAGAACTCATCAATTGGACACAACGACAACGAAACACTCTTGAATGGCAGCGGAAAACAAACAAAATCTGAAAATGCTTTGAGTAAAATTGAGATTTTTTTAGAGTTTATTTTCACTGGAATATTTTCTATTCATTTAGCGGCCTTTTTGAGAATATTCTTTACATTAGCTTAATCCAAATCTAAGTCTCAAAGTAACTCTTCTCAGTTAGAGTATTTCGAGAACAACTACAAATACCAAAGAATAAAAAGGGGTACAAAGAAAGCTGCCAAAAGCTGCCAGAATCTGCCAGTAAGTAAATTTAACGGCACCAACTGACAGTAAAAATTGCTCAAAATTTTATTGTTCCTCTCTCTCTCTCTCTCTCTCTCAGGGCCTGTTGTCATATCCTTTATTGCATTTGTTTTCCTGCCTTGCTGCCTGCCACGTTTTCTTTTTCTTAAGGCAAATTCACGCAATTTATTTTTAGCATTTCCACTTGGGATATGCCTTTGGCTTTGGTTGTCCCTTTTCTTCCATCTTTCTCTCTTTTTTTGTCTGTTTGTCCTGCAGCTGGTGACGCAGGTTATCAATTACATTGGCAACAACAAGTGCTCTGTGAATTAATAACAAAACGGTTGGCTGGGGACGGGGACGGGGCACCGCAGCCGAGTTGACAACTTTGAAAGCGACTCGGCGTTGTGGCCAAAAGGAAAACTCAAAATTCCCTGCAATGCGTAAATAAATTCAGAAGTCATGAAAACACACACGCAATGCAGAGAGCGCAGGTGTCGAAAGGTATGGGATCGTGTGATTGATTCTATATTTAGAGAACCCAAGACAGATATTGATTGATTAATGATAATTTGAGTATGGGGAATATATGAAGTATACTCATAAATATTAAATGAAAATGGGTCGAAATACTACAATAAAACGAAGGTACCATGTGCCTTCCTCTATTTTACTACCACTATTGCTACCTACTTTACTTATTATTTATTTATTTTAGCTTGAGAATACTTATACTACTACATCTTATTAGCTCTCTATCACGTTCCTTTGTTTCTCTCAGTGTCACTTCAACAAACACTTGTCAAAAAGATACCCCGTTCTCCTCGCCACGTTTTGTCTGCTGTGGCTCCCCCATTTTTCGGTGCCACAAAGTGTGCTACACTTGTGCCGCACGCTGTCGCTGTTGCCACTCGCTCACCTCCATTTCCACCTCCAGTCTATACCTGGCAGCCAGCTTTTCCAGCTGGTTTTACCCACTTTACCCTATCCCCCGTAACAGCTTCATAAAGCCAAGTGTTTGCGCTTTGAAGTTTCCGCTTCCGCAGTGAACAACGAAATGTTGTTGGGTGTTGCCTTCAGTTCAGTTGTTGTTGTTGTTGTTGCGGCACAGCATAAAACATACTTATTTTGAAGTTGGTGGCACATCCGTAAACCCCACATACAGCAGACCCATCCACATCTACATCCTCCAGTCAACACACACTCGGGGGAAAAAGGATGCCAATGCTGAGCATTTTGGAGAGTTCGTTTTCTTTTCCTGGCTGGCATTGTGGTTCTGTTCATCTTTTTCACGTACTACTGTTGTTGTGGTTGTTGTGCAAGTTGTTGTTGTTTGTTGTCACATCTGTTGTCTGAATTAGTTGAAAATTTAAATTCGAAAGTTGCCCCGATTACAGAATGTGTACGAGGAGTATGTGGCTCTCCGCCTCCTTTCCTGAAGATCTAATTAAGTTTGTGGATTGTTTGCACAGCTCAAGGGTATGCCACGTGGGCTTGAGAGTAATTTACGTGGAAATGGTCCTCTTTCCTTGCCGCTTTTGTGGGCACAACTTTTGTGTTGATTATTTGAATGACAAGAGCAGTGAAGATTGTTTTAAGCATTACGTTTGAGGTTTGGTTATGGAGTGTGCATTTCTAGGTCATATAACACATTCAAGAACTCTCCGAAAAGTTGTTAATATCCAGCAATCTGAAGTGACCTCTACATGAAATATATTTGTTGTAAAGATTTGTTCACGTTGTGGTCATAAATAACGACAGATTCGGGCAATTTTATTACACACACATTTTATGAGCAAATACGAAAAATAACAAATACTCGCACAAGAGTGTGAATGTGGGCATGGAGTGTTGTTCTTTGCGTTAAGGGAAACTCGATATGAATGAAAGTGAAAATGAAAGTAAAGGAAAGCCAACGCAGAGCAAACACTTTCACTTTGTGCCCATTTAAGGTCGTGTCTGGCATTTTCCTGTGTGATGTGTGCTGTGTGCTGTGCGGTACGTGCAATAAATAAGCGACTTATTTATGCCCCTCACACACACACACCTACACACACGCACACATATTTAGCAAGTGTATTTGGGTTAGTAATACCATTTACGATGCAAAACAAACATAAAGCAAAAATGTAAAGAAAAAAGAATGAGCCGCAACAATGAGCTCTCTTTACGTTTATGTTTATGCCGGCAAATCCGTCTTCAATGTAAGCCCGGGTCTGGCATATCTTTAAAATAATGAAAGCCGAAGCTAAAGATACCCTAGCAGATCTGCAAA